CCTGGATAATTGTTTGGTAAATGCATGTCACATAAAAGACCAGGTCAGTCAGTGTGGGTGGGCTCAGTGCAGACCCCAGTCGCCACCTCTAGGGAGGTATAAAGTGCCTGGCTCAGACCAGGAGCCCGCCTGTATTGATAAGACCACAAAGGGATGGCCAGGCTTTCCCTGCCACCCACGCTGAGGGGATTTCATTTTGACAACTACACCCCCCACCCCCAGATCCATACACACACACACACACACACACACACACTCACACACACACATTCATACACACACATCCATACACACACACACAGATCCATGACATACACACAGGCCCTGGTGAGAAGAAAGGGGAAAAGAGAGATAGGGGGCACCAGAGGAACAGGAAAACTGACATGCCACAGGTGTTCATGGCAGCCACAGGCTATTGGGTCCCACCTTCCCTAGGCTTCTGGGAGTTCTCTGGAAGCACAGGGGTTCAGGTGGGAGACAGTGATTTTCATTTTCTCATCCATCTGGGAACCAAAGGGTCTGGAGATTCCAACATGTCCACCCAGACCACTGGGCAAGGGCAAGGGTTAGCCATATATTTGTTCTGTTGCTTTTGTGTCTCCCATGGCTGGGCATAGAGGAGAACTTTGCCCTTGTTGGGTTTAATTGGATATAAACACCCAGACACATACATGGCCCCCCACACATCACTTTTCCTCTTTCACTGACTTCTTGTTCACATTCCCAGCACATTGAAACCCCACAGGGGCACACCAGAGTGCCCTGACCCTCTTGGACAAGAAATTGTATCCTAAGGTGAGTTTCTTTGCAAAGAGACCCCAGCCTGATCCCAGGGTAAGGAGGAGGGTCGGGCAGCAAGGAAAGATGTTTCATGCAGAGGGTCTTCAAGGGAAAGCGCCAGAACATTTCTCAGACAGACCAACATGAAGCAAGAAACTAAGCAGCTTGCCTATGTTGAGCAAACTTTTTCTTAGGTTTCCTCCCCCTCCTCCTCCTCCTCCTCCTCCTCCTCCTCCTCCTCCTCCTCCTCCTCCTCCTCCTCCTCCTTCTTCTTCTTCTTCTTCTTCTTCTTCTTCTTCTTCTTCCTCTCCTTCATTTGGCAGAAGAAAACAAATTAAAGTTTAATAACATGTATGCCTTCTGGAACACTGAGTAACTCACCAAAATGTTACAAGACATCATCTTAAATACTAAAGACAAAAGAGATGTTGACGATCGAGAGTCAGTTATGGGAGGTTACCAGTAGAAGCAGAGCAAACAAGGATAAGATTGGTATGCAGACTTAAGACCCTGCCTTCTTCATTGGTAGTAAAGGCAGGCCTGGTCCAGTCAGGGAGACATTCTTACAAATGGAGGTTTCCCCTACAAATGTAAATGTTCTTCACAAAGTGTAACTTCTAGTGGTTTTTCAGAGCTTCTCCCAAGTCTGACCTTTCTTCAAATTAACCAGTCTAAAATAACCAAAATCCCAAAGAGGCATATTTTGAGGTGGCAAACTCCACACTCCCCTTTGTCAATGTCAGAA